TTGGTCGTCGTTGCCTTCGGTCATGGTTTGGTTGGGCGGCATGTAGTCGTTGTTGGGGCCAACTTGGTGCTGGAGGCCCTGGATCGTGATGTCATTGTAGGTGCCGTCGCCTGTGTAGTACCAGTAGTCGATCAGAGCGCCCATGAAGGCGCCGCCCTCCCACCCTGTAAGGTAGAGTCGGTTAGAACATGGAGGCAGTGGTCGCAGTATAAGGATGTTGCCAGCGACTTACAGTAGTACGGCCCCGGGAGAAGACCGGGTGTCTGGCCTGGTTCGTTTCCATGGTAGAACGACACCAGGTCCTCCGTCATAGACTTTGCCGTGTCCTTGAGGTTATCTGCATTGCATAAGTGAGCTTATATACTGGGCTAAGATCCGCGGCGCATGCGATGCGATGCGATGCGCCTGCGCAGGTGAGCTTTATTTACTCACCTAGGTCATTGACATCGATCTCGTATGCTGCGGCAATCTGGCATGCTGCGAGGAACCATGCCCACAATGCGGCAGGGCGGAGTGCGCCGGTGTTCCAACCCCGCATTGCACCGGTGACGCAGCTTCAGAAGCTTCGACTCTTATTTAAATTATTTCGGCCGTCCGGTAATGTCGGCTCAGCAGATCCGGGGCGACATCGAGGGCCCAAGCTAAAGCAAGGGGCCGGGACAATAAACGAGGGAATGCGAAGAATGACCCCTTTAATCGGACATGCAACGGTGCTGTGTGTGTCGCGAGATCTTGTGAGAGGCGAGAGTTAGGTATCCTGGATCGCGAAAGCAGCGGTGTTTTAGTGCGATGGTGGTGTGTTGTGGAACGGACGACGTTGAGAGACAATGTCTAAGTCGCAAGACGGGGGCCCGGTGCTACGGGGGACAACGTGGAACTTGTAGTTTAAGTCAGGCACACACTTTACCACAGTAGTGTCAGCTTTCGCTAGGAACCGTATTGTCAGCATGCACCGATGCAACACTCCACAGAACCAGGAACGAATCAGTTTGGTGACGACAGGAGCGAAAGAAGAGGAGAAACCACTGGCTGCCAGGCTGGGCTGTGCTGCGACTGGTATGCGGTCAAAGAAGATGGTCATAAGAACTGCCCCGAGAGACGCCAGCACAGCCAAGACAGGCGAGGTGTCGTCTAACCAATGGCCTGCCGGCGCAACTGAATACGAAGTATCGATGCTGGGTAGGATCCAAGGGGAGTACGTACGCTTGCAGCAGTAGTGACGCTCAAGAAGTTGTACTAAAAGTGATGACTGACCGTATCGAACCTCAGTTCAGGACTTCACTGGCATGCTCTGCCGTATTTGACGAGGCCCAGTTCGTTGTAGGATTGGGTTGCTGACACAAATAGAGGAAAATGAGAGAACGATATTGTACGGCTCTTGTCTTAACGCCCGGAGTATGTGAACAGCGAAACGTTGAAACCAACAAAGAACCCGAACCTGGAGGGGAGAGGGCTGAGAGAGACAGCCTGCATTCTGGAAGGCTCGGAAATGGCAGCCCACTGTCGAGACCGGGTCGTTGACCCAGAAGTGACGTGCAGCGGTGCAAGCTCCGCGGTAACGGTTCTGAACAGCCATTGACAGCGAACATCAGTGCCAAATTGCTGCTGCCTTGTACTCCGCTGTGGTGTCTTGGACGGCTCCGGTTTAGCGGGTTTTAGCAGCTGGGGAAACGATCGCCGTGGATGAGCTTGGCCGAACCAGGAAGTTGGACTGTTGGAGACATGTTGTGTGGCAGTGGTGGGTTCGTATGCGGCTAAGACGGCCCTGTGCCGTCATGGTGGTGAGCTTCTTTTGAGAGAACCGTTGGGAGGCGGGGCAAAGGACCAGGTTGTTGTTGGCCGTCGTTGAAGACCCGGTCAGCGGCTGTTGAGATCACACGTATAGCTGCATTTATTATAGAGCATATTCTGTTTCAATCTTTAGCAACAAGGCATCCCAACAAGAGACAGACATAATGATACCTTGGGAGAATTGAGGGCCTGAGAAAACGACCAAATATCCCGTTGGAATGCCCAGAAGCATTATTTCCTTCGAAATCCGTTCGAACTCGTCAGACCTGTGACCCCTCTGACTTATTAGCGGCGCCAAGCAATGCAGGTCATCAAGGTCACGATCGCACGAAAATGATCGCATCCAACCTTCGGGCTTCGGGGGCTGCATTCAGCACTTGCCGCATCTGTTACGGCTGATTGCCTCTTCTGGATACAATGCTGGATGGACCCTGGGGGGACGCGTATACTCTCGTATTTATTTTAGAAGTTGTGAAAGAAGACACTGAATAAAGAATTCGTTGCGACTGTCTGTCAGTCTTTTGATTCAATTGAGAGATCATGGGTCTCAATGAGAGACGGCGCATCATGTGGTGCGAGGCTGATGGCGGCAAAGTGCTGCATCCTGCGTGCACATTCATCTTTTTGTCCTACGACATTGAAGAGACACAATTGCTGCAGCCCGCTTGGAACTGCATCTGAAGAGCTGGGACTTGAGACCAATTGTGGTGAAACAGGAACTGGGTGTCAGTTGTCTGTGAGATTGAAGTTTGTTAATGAATAGGCCAACAATTGTGAGGCCAGTCAACACTACTCATGAACAATCGAGTAGACAATCCTCGCGTGAGCTTTCACCCCTTGAAGGGTGGTGATCTTGGTCAATAGTTGTTCTTTTGTTCATCAACAAGATTGCTGGGAGATCGCTCTCCTCCTCTCTCCATACCTAAGGTACCTTAACCAACTTGAACACTGAACATCGTAGAGGGAAAGAACAACAGGAAGAAAGTAAAAGGTCGGAACCCTGATATCCAGCGCATCTTTCGAAATCCGGGGTACCGTCTTGAGCTCCGCCTGCCAAGTGCCAGGGCAGCGGCAGGGCTATCGAACAGCCAGTAAACGCACGGCTTAGCTGCACTGTGGGACACCAAAAGTCCAGAACAATGCCAGTGCTCCGCCAGATTCCCCGGGATCGCCATCGAATTGCACCGCTGGCACCGCTGTCCAACAAGCGTGCCTGTCATTCCAACCAACCATCATCGCGGCCCGGCCCCCTCCTCAACAACCCCAGCTCCATCCTCCTCTGTCAACAGCAAACCGTCCGACTCCAGCAGACGGCCAACAACTGCTCCTGACAACAACCAGAACCGGAACTGCTCGACAGGCAGGTTCGACATGGCTACCTCTTCGATACCCGCGGGCATGGTAGACCCGTCAAAGGCAGGGAAATATCCAGTCGTACTCAGCGATGCACTGCTCGGAAAACCATCCAAGGAATCATACACCGGAGTCCGATGTAAGCTGTCTTTTCCCGTCCAAAGCATGCGCCCTTGAGGTGGCCAAGGAAGGCTAACTGATATTCTTTGCCAGATAACCACAAACCCGACGTCTCAGATCCAAACTCAACGACTGCACGACTAAAACAATCCAACAAGGACGGCACCTTCAACCTCGGCATAGACGACAATGGCAACCGATACACATACAACGGCGTCCGGACCACCAAAGACGGCAATTACGTCCTCATATTCGACCCAGCACGGCAGGTCTTCGTGCTGCATCGTGTCGACTCCCTCTTCCACATGAACGTCACCCGAACACCAGGCAACACCGACGTCGAGAGCCTGCGGAAGCAGTTTCCCCAGCTCGAAGTCCAATCTCCTACCCCATCCACCAAGAAGAATGACACCAAGACCGACGGCAAGGCCACGCCCAAACCAACGCCCAAGACCGATGACAGTAGCACCGCCTCCAAATCAGGCAAGACCAACAAGCCCAAAGCCTCCGCCCTTCGCAGCAAACCAGCGGCCAAGAGAGCAACAACACAGAAGAAACCACCCACCCCTTCCGCAACACCAGACTCAACCAAACTTATGCCCCCGCCTCCAGCGCCGACGACAGCCTCCGACTCCAAATCCTCCAAGAAAACCGCCGCCCGCTCACCGGAGTCCGAAGAAGAGGACGATGAAGACGATGACGACGACGGCGGCCTGACGATAGAATACCCCGGCGGCCCCTCCCCTCGTCAGACACAAACACCCTTCGGCTCAACATTCGTCCAACCGCCCGTCGCCATCACGCGGCGCTTCTCCGAGTTCCTCCAGAACGACGACGAGGAGGAGCAGAGGCAGCAGAGAGAAGAGCCGCCGGAGATATCGTACACGTTCGAAGACGCTATTGGCTCCGACGACGACGAGATGGACGACGTTAAGCTGCCCAGCCCTGTGGACGGGCGGCAACAACAGGCTACGGGCTTGGGGCTGGGAGCGTACGGAGAGGCCGCAGAACAGGCGGAGGTCGTGGCAGGAGACGATGATGCCGATGGGGAGGATGATGATGACATGGCGGCGGACTTGGAAGCCGATCTCGAGGCCGAGTTCGAGAAGGCTACGGGCTACGACAGTGAGAGCGATGTCAGTGAGGAGGACTAGAGATTCGGCCTGGGGGATGTTTTTGGACGGTTTGGCGTGGATTAATATTTAAGCACGACGGATAAAGGATGATAGCTCGAATGGGCTTATAATGCCGCCAACTTGCCGTTTTATGGGTGCGGACGGACACACCATCAGCGAGAAAGGAGGGAAAGGGGCATTGCATTGCGTTGGGAATGGCGTTGGGAAAGATATCAGCTTGCTTCTGCGGTTTCTGATTTAGGAATGGGACGTTGGGACATCACTGGCCAACGAAAAGCGTTAAACAGCGATTTGGAATCGCACCGTGAAATAGGAAAGCTATACACCACACCTCTACTGTCTGCTTATGCTGGTGGTCTTGCGAGACTGTGAGAAGGACATTCCAACGCCATACATCCATACTGTCCCGGCATCACGTCCTCCTGGAGATGATTGTCACAATCTCACAATCTCACAATATCTGCTTCTCGCGCTTCGCAAGAAACTGCCTTCCCTCCCCAGCCATGCCTGACTCGCCTGCCCGGTGAGCTTTTCCCATCCCGTTGCGCTTCGGTTGGCGACAAAATCGCCTGTTCCGCATCAACCATCACGAGTCAACAAGGTTCCTTGGTCTAGAGGTATGATTCTCGCTTAGGGTACACCCTATACATCTAAAGCTTCGGCTTGCGAGAGGTCCCGGGTTCAATTCCCGGAGGAACCCTTTCCTTTTGCTTCGTTTTGCCGGTCACCGTTGTCACAACACCTGAGCACCAAGGGAGTGCCCGGGACAAGGTTGGTCCTGTGTCGACACTCAATCCTTCCCTTCCATTACCACACCTCACCTAGTCCTTAGAAAACAATACACTCTGATCAATCCACTCCACAAACCCAAACTCCCCCTTCTCCGTCTGAAACACATCAACCGGGTACCTATACGGCTCCACCTCCTCATCACTCAACACCTTCGTCACCCCGCCACTGTTCCTCTCGGCGCTCTCATTGTACCCCGGCCCATAATCCCTCCACGTAGCCATAAAAGTATAATTATTCACCCTCTGATCCGTCGCTCCCCAAATCACATACCCGGCCGGTTTAATACTGGCGTCAAAGTACGAGTCCATAAAGACACTCCTGTGCTGGGCGTTCCACGGCCTCCCCAAAGGACACTTGCCCACGATCTTGGCCGCGATGCTGGCGTTGGCCGCCACCGAGGGCGTCCGGTCGAGGTAGACGCCGTACTTGTTGGGAAAAGTCGTGTTGGTGCCCTTCCAGGCCGTGATCCCCCCGCCGCAGGAGCGCAGGGCGAGGTGGGACTTCTCGATGTACAGCGTGCCGAAGCCGTAGAGGAAGTCCGTCTGGCCGGCGACGACGGCGTCGTAGAAGTAGGCGTTGCCTAGTTTGCCGATGTAGACCTGTGCGCGTTCCTTGTTAGAGAATGGTACTCGCAATTTCCGGGAGAAGGGATGTTTTGGCATACGGTATCCTGCCAGCTATAAAACCCGCACGAGTAAAACCCGGCATTCGCCCTGCTCACACCGATCGCGTGCGCCGGTCCGTTGGAGTACGGCGTGAACTCATTCCGAAAATCGATGTTATACGCCCTGAAATCGCTGCACCCAAACGGCGTGTCCTCCGGCACGGGGAAGCCCGTCGGCCCGGCACCCGTCAACGTGGCGTTGAACGTCGGCCCGACGGTCAGCACGCTCGTAAACACGTTGTCACTGAAAATGGCGTCGTGGTTCGCCGAGTTCCACCACACCTGCACATCATTCTGCGCATCCGTGTCCGTCTCGACGTCCGCGTAAACTTCCCCCTTCCAGGGTTTCTTGGACATGCCTATCAGGTGCAAGGGCCCCTGGCGCGTGACGTTGAGCTGCTCGGTGTAGTTCCCGGGCGCGATGAGGATGTAGGCCGGGGCGGTGGTGGTGTTGCCGACGGACTCGATGGCGGATTGGATGGTGGTGAAGTTCGCGCGCGGGTCGGACTTGGAGACGTAGAGCGTGCCGGCCGGGCAGCCGTCTGTTGGGTGGCCGCAGGTCATGCGCTGGCAGCGCTTGTAGGTCTGGGCTGGGCCGTGGGGGTCAAGGGCTGCTGCGGGTGGGAGCAGCAGGCCCGTGGCCGAGGCCAGGAGGGCTAGGGAGGGGAACAACATCTTTGGCGGGGAGGGATGCCAAGAGGAAGGTGAAGTTGAAGATGTACGGGGTTGGGGGGATGAGAGGATGTCTTATATTAATCATGACCCGGTCGTTGGGTAGGCGGCATGTCCTTGTTCGTTGTGGACGATCTGTATGCCCATTGATGACACGGTACCACTCGGCAGCCGCATCTTGTTGATTGTGACGACAGTTTGAACCTTGTCCAGACGTCGAGATAGTCTGGTGGGCGAATGATCAACAACGGATCATGGGGGACCGTAGAGGAGAGATAGTCGACATCGTTGGAGCTCGCGTGGCAGTAGAACCAATTGACCGGGACTAGCAAAAGCTTGACGGATGCCAATTTTCCGCCAAATAAGACCTGCGAGAAGTACACTTGTACCTCCGTCAACTGGTGCCCGGATATCGCGTGTCTACCAGGAAAATATACGTTTTGTTTGACGGAGAAACGATGAGTGCGAAAGGAGGAAGCTGGAGGAGATCAAGCTTTCCCCGCAAACGGTTTACCTTCTCCTCATCCTTACCCCAACTTCCTTCGGCAGCTATTCCCCTTCGAGCAATGAGTGTAACGACGACGATCTCCTACCAGGGGTTGATCTCCTCTCCTCCGATATCACTGACGGAAAAATTCATCTCCACGACGGGACTCCATGGCGATAGCGCAGGTACCGGAAGTGCGCATCCTACCCTGAATGAACTCCTCCCCCAGAGCCGCCTCAATGACACCATGAGCAAGGAGGACTACTGTGGTATAGTCGCCAGCCAAGACGGATGTCGGACGTAGCCATAGCTAGTGCTAGGGCCTACAGCTTCTGCAAAGGAGAAGCGATCCTTTATAAGGCGCGGTATGGATCGCCACTCCGTCTGGGATCCGAGGAATCTGGAGAAAAGTAGGGACGGGAAGATAAGCCACCATACCGACAACTACTCTCTGCACCCGCAACCATGGTCCAATCACTCGCCTCCCTTCTCGCCATCACCAGTCTGGCCGTGTCCTCCGCCCGCGCCGTGGTCTACAGCCCCAACGCAGGCCAGCCCGTCATCGAGCGGCCCGAGATCAAAGCATGGCCTCTCCACCCGACCAAGCCGCACGCCGCCTCGCCGGCGCGGGACCCGAACAAGTACTGCTTCGTCAAGCCGAGCTGCAAGAGCGACGACGACGCAGGCAACATGCTCAAGGCCTTCCAGAAGTGCAACCACGGCGGCACCGTTGTGCTGGATGCGAACTACACCATTGGCTCGCCGCTGGATCTGACGTTTCTCGATAGCGTTGATGTGGCTATCTCGGGTACGATCAAGTTCAGTGGGAATGTGAGCTATTGGGTTGAGAATAGTTTCAAGTACGCCTATCAGGTCTCGTCGGCGATGTGGAGGTTTGGAGGCAAGGACGTCAACATCTATGGCAACGGTGTTGGTCTGATCAACGGTAACGGACAGCCGTGGTATGATGCATTCGCAGCAAACGCAAGCCTGCAACGGCCCATCCTGCTTGTACTCGACGGTCTGAAAGGCGGTTCCGTCACTGGTATGAAAATGATCAACTCGCCCAACGTAGGTAGCCCCCCGACCCCCCGTAACGTAACTCGCCATTGACCAGTCCACAAGTGGTTCAACCTCATCGCCAACAGCTCAGACATCATCGTCAGCGACATCGACATCAAAGTCGGGGTACGCTTCTTCCCTCCTCCATCTCCCTTACCACAAACCCATCTAACCCCCAACCAGAGCACATCCAAGAACCCAGCCAAAAACACCGACGGCTGGGACACCTACAAATCCGACTCCATCGTGATCCAATCCAGCACCATCAACAACGGCGACGACTGCGTCTCCTTCAAGCCCGGGTCGACCAACATCATCGTGCAAGGGCTGCAGTGCAACGGCTCGCACGGCATCAGCGTCGGCTCCCTCGGCCAGTACATCGACGAGTACGACGTGGTGGAGAACGTGTACGTCTACAACATCTCCATGTCCAACGCCTCGGACGGCGCGCGCATCAAGGTCTGGCCGGGGAACTACACGCCCTTCCAACCAGGCCTGTCCGGGGGCGGGGGTTCGGGTTACGTCAGGAATGTTACTTATGATGGGATGCGCAACGCGAATAACGACTGGGCTATCGAGCTTACGCAGTGTTATGGGCAGAAGAACCAGACGCTTTGTAATGAGTATCCTGTGAGTTTTGTTTCTACATCTGTGTGACTGGGGGAAAGGGATGAAGTTGCTGTGCTAACCTGGGGAACAGTCGAACATGACCATCTCGGACGTCGTGTTTAAGAATTTCTGGGGGACGACGTCGAAGAAGTACGATCCCAAGGTTGCGACGCTGGTGTGCAGTAGCCCAGATGTAAGTCTTTCCTAATCGCAGTGGCAGGAGAGGAAGTGTAGCTGACAACGGGCAAGAAATGTTCCAACATCCGGGTTCAGAACTTCACCGTCACGCCGCCGAGCGGGAAGACGCCCACGGCGGATTGCACTAACATGGATAACTCGCTGCTGGGCCTCAACTGCATTGTCTGAACGATTACGCTAAGACTCATATGATGTATAAGAATAATAAGAGGCTATTAATACTATCATTACCCTCATCGTGGTGTGAGGCCGTCATATGCTCTAGCTAAAACCGGGCTAGATCACATACGTGTACGCCATGTTAACATACTTTTGCCGCCCCATCAGTAACCTCTTTCGACGTCTTTCATTCCCCTTTTGTGATCCGCTTATGTCTGGGTAGGTACGGCACACTCTCATTCCACCATCCCACAGATAGCCTCCTACTACGTCTTGGGCGATGTTGCTTGAGAGTTCTGAACCCATCAGCACATACTTGGTCACAGCAAGTCGGTAAGGGGGTACTCACTCTCTGGTCGTTCTTATCTTGGCCGAGCTTCTCACTCGCCTCCTTATGACCTTTAGAACCCGTCTTCTTCTCCTTCTTCTTATGTGGGTTCACCTGTCTCTGCTCATCTTCGTATCTCTGCCCCCAGCCGTTCTTCCGAGATTCCTCGTCGGGAAGCCACCAGCTCTGAAGGGGTTCGGGACCGGTGATGAGGCTTCCGGACATTCTGAGTGACTGATGGGAAAATGAGGCGGTTGCTGTTCTCAGTTGGTGCAATGCGTCGAACTATCTCTTTGAAGGACACAGACTACAGTCGAACTTGGTAGTCGTTGGGGTGTTGAAGTGGTTCTTTGGCGAGCAACGAATGGACGGTATATGCATACAGACCTACAGGACCGAACCACGACGACAGGCAAGGCAGACCAGCTACTTATACCCGCAATCGAACACAGTTCGCCGTTCCAAGCCCCTACAGACACCAACTCGAAGGACTCTCGATATTGGTTTGTCCTGTTCTTTCAGCTCATGAGAACTCGCATGACTGTCCAACCTGTTGACTGGACGTTCGTTCCATAACGATGAGATACTGCCGGCATATGCATACATGGCTTTTCCTCTACCCAACCATGCAAAGAGAAGAGTCAAGTTATCCCTTATAGGCGCCTGTTGGTGGCTTGCATGCCAAGGCGCTCTGTCTGCAAGAAGAAGCGGGCAAACAACTCTATATCG